ATTTCATGCACAATAGTTTTTGGAAGTCCCAGGGCAGCCGCTCTCTTGCGCACGGACTGACGAGTTGCACACGAACCATTGGCCTTGAAATACGCTTCGGTTACGAACGCACGTTGCTCACCCGTCCACTGCGACATCGTGACTAAATAACCCGCACGAATGACGAAGCTAACGCGGTGCCCTCCCCGCCCATACACCCAGCGGTTAGGGAGATACTTTAATTCTAAAACCTAATTCTGCCACCGGACACCCTGTATTATACATATATACGAGTATAACTATGTACATATGTATATCCACCCAGAAGCAATGGACGAAGATACATACTACGTTGCCAATGTTACGGCAAAGACTTGGATTTGATTAATTATGCATCATGAAATGCTTTTCGCTATAAAATTGTGCGGTTTTCTTATTAAAATTTTGCAAACATGCTAGTAAAAAACGGCGTTTTATAAGTAAGATAATAAAAAAATACGAAAGCAAATCCTCACAGTGTGTTCTTTCTCATACATACATATACATGTATTTATTTCTCAGAAAGTCGTATTTTTAATAAGTTTCTGTTTATCATTCACCATCCACGCAAATGTAATTGCCATACATTTATTAATATCCTATAAATTAATTTGGTAAAGTGCCTTTAAAAAAAGTCCTAACCTTTATTTTTTATTTTACAAAATATTCGCTAAATCAGCAAATTTCCCCTTCTGAATCATTGCATAAATCAAAATTTGCCAGCCTTCGCTTATCATTAAAGTGTGCAAAGTAACATTTATTACCGTTGGGAAAAAAAAAATATTTGCGCATAAATTTTACGCAACTGCAACTATGTGTACCACTCATAAAATATCTATCCACCTATTTATACGCATATCAGATGACATAAAATTGTACTTGCATATTAATGTGTTTTATGACATTTGTGTGCGCCCTTGTTTGCACCTAAATACAGTTAATTAATTGCTTATCCAATAATAATGCAATCAAACGATTAATGCCTTGACTTTTGTTGTCATTTCACGATAAGTGTTAGCTATAATTCATGGTATAGCTATTAATCTTAATAATAAATTAATTTACACGTTTTGTAAACAATAAACAATTTGACTACTTTCCATATCTACGCGGAAAGATAAACATACGCGCTGCGGCAGAAGCCAAAAATTTAAGTGAAATTAGCGAAGACTTTATCAGCGTAGGGTTTGGGCTAAAGAAATTGCCGCTTGCTTAAGTTGTTTCACTGGATAATATTTGCTTGCTCGAAATAAACGAGCGATAATTTATGGCTCAGGAATACAATGCAGCCAATAGTGTTTAGAGGTTTAGGTAATAAAACTGAACATAGATATCTTACAATTTCAATAAATTACAACCACGAACTAGCACTCAAAAAATGTGACCATTAGTTAAACCGCCAAATCGTTTTGCATTCTCTGGTCAATTTTTTTTTTAATAGACATATAAAGTTTGCAATTTTTTCCTCAGTACTTCTAGAGTAGTGAAACGGGATGGGATGTTTTCAATTTTCTGTGGACTTTCCCGTTCTTTGTATAAAGATTTTGTCTGAAAATACCGCTAATGGGATATTTTTCTAGAGCATTTAACCCTCTGGCGACCTCCCAAATGACATTTAATCCAAAATATCTAAAAAATACATAGATGAAAACGACAAACTATTCTTAGAGAAACCCAGACTACACTTTTAGCTCCGATATGAATTTTAACCCCTTTCCATTTAATCTAAGCACACTGAGACTAAAAATTTTGAATATAATATGGCCATAAAAAAATTACCTGAGAAGCAATAAAAGTTCAGAGGATTTACGATTTATAAAAAAATCGGAAGTGGACAGCTGTGCTCTTGAATTAAATGCCACTAAGTGCCCACCTTTTTAAGCATAGCCAATAATAAATGCTTTTTTAAATGTCATTTTAAGATTGATGAATTACTTGTTTGTTGTTTTTGTTTCTAGATGGGAGTTCGACGTGAAAATATAAACGATTGAAATACAATTTTACAATTTTTTTAGGATGGCGTCATCTTATTCTTAGTTTATGTATAGTATATGTTTGCATGTATATATTTACCATTATACATATGTACTACGTTTATGCTCTAGCGTACGTTGTATGTTAAAAATATTTTGACGTAAACAGCAAATGCATTACAGCCAAGAAGAAAAAAGTAGTATCGACTATGTAAGAAACTGCAAATAAATTAACACTCCATACGTTAATGTTCCAAAGAAATCAAGCACATCCGCACATTTTTGTGCATATTTAAGTGTATGTATGCGTCGCACACACAAGTCGTAAATTTAGCAATAAACTCGTGAAAATGGAAATTGTATACATTCATAGGTACCTGCTATATGTGTTAGCAGACAAATTCGTGACTGTTCATACATATATATATGTATGTATGAATGTACTCTGCAGGGAAAACCCGAACTGTTGAACCAAATTTCTGGTCAATACTAGTTCTTTATCGCCAAAAGCCAACCAGTCTGATAGTAAGTAGATCCTTACCAGTCTAAAAGCAGCGAAATTTGGTACATTGAAAAACTATTTTATTTTAATGATTAAAACTATATACCGCTAGCTTAGAATAAAAAGTTTCCAAGTCCACTTTTAAAAAAAAATATATATTTTGATGCAAGAAGCAAAAAAGTAACGAACTGAACTGAACTTTTCTATTCTGTGAAAGCAAATTTGGTAAATCCAGGTTGAAGCATTAACGAGTGTCGAATCGTTTCGATTCGTTTTCCACCCGAAACCGTTTTTTTTTAAGTGCATTTTATGTACAGTGAAAACTATTATAGCCGGAAATTATGTCCTTATGGCATTTTTGATCATCTACAGACACATTTCGATTCATATTAAAGAAATATTATTATTTGTACCACCCTGTGCAAGCATTTCTGTCACTTCACTTGACAATGCATGCATTCATATATGTACAGAACACCTACATATATATACAAAAATATGTATGTACTTCATAGTAGTTAGTTGCACGTTAGTAAGCACGTTTACGCTATCTGTCTCCACATCATTGTACATTTTCGTTGCTTGCACAACAATTTTATTGTCTTTCATAAAAATGTAACGCATACAACATGGCGAACGGATTGGCACACGTGTCAAACTACAAATGTACATGTACGTATACCTATACATACATGGGTATTTACTTATGTACGAGTATATGCGTTCCTTGGGTTTTCTAGTCGAATTTCCCGTGTTGAGTAATCGAAACGAAGGTGGAAGAAGTTTTGCTCTCACTTAAGCAGATCTCCGAATGTATCTCAGTAACTCAAATATGTATGTAATGTTGATGTGCAAGTTTGCGCAGCAGTCATTCGCATTTTCATCAGCGCCTGAATATTTACTACAATTTTAAATCATTTTATTACAAAAAGTACTTCAACCAGCATGCAAAAAGCCGTCGGAAATATCCTAAAAAACCAAAGTGCCTGAAATTTTTGTAAAAAATAATTTTTTCTAGCTCTTGCACTTTGTCTATTCAATCTTATTATTTTATAAGAGCAATTCTTGTATACATGCACATATTTATGTATATAATTATATATCTATGGGCTCCTCGGAAGCGTCTTAAATGATTTTGATAAAATTTTGTATTCGAAAAATGTTTTGCATTTTAACGCTCTTCTATAAGGTTGCCCCCTATTCGGAAATTAGTTACAAATTAAATAAAACGTCAAAACATTTGTTACTTTAAAAATCCCCAGTTCAAAAATATTTTATTGAGTTTTCGCCCTGTAAATTAAGGTACAATATGGGCTTCCAATTTATTCCTTGCTTATATAGTAAGCGTTATGTCAATAGGATATTAGTTTAAGGTTGCCACTTGTTTTCGATTCTAAAAAATTTAACTATAACAATTTAGTACGAACATCTAGGCTGAATTTCTTTATTCATTCTGAACGTTTGGAATAAACTTTTTTGTTTACTTATTCTTTAGAACGTTCCTGATGATATGTTAACGTATATTTCAAACACATTCTGTTTATTCCGGCTGTGAAATGAGATTATCCGGAATGTATAAAGAAATGCAGCCCTAATAAAGGGTATTTTCCAAAACTTGTATCGAAAATAAATATTTTCGAAGAGGGTTGTCACGTTTTTTGTAATAAAAATTTGTATCTTATTAATTTCAATGAGCATTTTTTATAAATATGTATATCTGTGTACATAGTACATATACACTCAAAATGTGTATTCTTCATCTTGGTGTATCTCTAAATAAGGTTGCCACCTAATTTTTAATGAAGAAATTTATTTAATTTGGTGGCGTAGTCAAATGGCTATAAAGGTATTTGATTCATTTACGAAAAATTCGGATACGGTAGCGAACTGCCAAAAATCCCAGACGCCAGATAAGTTCGCTTTATATCTGGTTTGGCTACTAGGACATAGTAGCACCAATATCCGGCCCGGAAGATGTTAGGCATGCCGTGCGATTTCTGCAAGCTTAGTATTAAGCAATCTTTCCTTAAAAAAGCACGTATAAGGTGGGGGAACTAAAGTACGCGTAACACAGCCGCACTGATGTGGCCACCGCAGGAGATGTAAAAATGACGAGAGCTTCTGTACTTGAAAATGAGAGAAATACTCTAAGGGAGACAGTTCAGTTATCCGTGTTCTCTAATCTAACCGCGATCTATTTGAGCTAACAACAAAATATTCATATCTGGATTTGTTGTCTAAATCCTACGAAGACTGAGTAATTCAACATTCTAGCAATGAGGCCTCTAATAAACCTCCGTCCCAAAATTAGTAGTAGTACTAAAACGAACTTTTTAAAAATTCTTTCCACTTGTTTGGGAACAATTCATTAATGCATGAATCAAATTATTTACACGAATTTCACTTCACTTCGATCAACACTGACATTATTTTCACCAACAAAAACCGAAGATATTTCATACATACATACATTTCCCGCACATATTTTGTAAGCTTTATTTTTCGCAATGGAGGAGGAAACCTATAGAGTTAGAATCAATATAGATGGTGAAAACGAGAAGAAGAATATCGATTCTAGAGCCGGTATACCTATAATAAAAACATCACTTAAAACCACCAAACCAGCAGAGGTCATAAATGTGGAATCTGGAATAGAGGCGGAAGCTTCGCTAAATGCAGATGAAGCCGAAGCAACACAAATCAGAACCGTTATCGAAGTACTTGACGAAGAATTACTTTCCAGCGATTCTGAAGCATCACTTACGATGAGACCCACTTACTTGGAACAAGGTGAACTTGAAGAATCTCTCGATTTCTTCGAACAACTAGGCTCCATACCCAACATTGGCTCACTGGAGGAAAAAATACATAAAAAGGCGTCAGCAAAGTCCGCAGACACAATGGTAGCCAACGAAGTGGACGATGGCAGAGATATTGGCAGGTTTGTCGATCCTTTAACCGGCGAACTTTTGTCTTCTACTTCCGAAGAGGAAGAGCAGGAAAAAGAGGAAGTGACAGAAGAAGAAGAAGAATCTTCTAAATCGGAAGACATTGATTTTTCGGAAGACGAAGAGTTGCTTGAATTACTAAAAGCCGATCAAGAAATCGAAGCGCCGAAGCCTTTGGATGACACAGAAGTATTTGAAACATTTTTGGAAATGGAAAAAGATCGCGTTGTGGTCGATGTGGTCGAATTCGATTGGGTAGCTTATGAACGTAAGAAGGAACTAAACAACATAGCGACAGATACGCTTGTGTTTCTAAAGGAGCTCATAAAGCATGCGGTAGACAAAGTTGAATATGTCGATCCAAAAGTTTTATTGCGTCAGAATCTTGATAAAGCTGCATTAATTGCCGAGATTGTGCAAAAATTAGCAGAGCTTGAAGCAGAGCAGAAATCGCGCACCTATCTTAATCGCCGCGTTGTTGAGTATTTCTACCGCAAGGGCCAATATCGTGTTTTTACTGAGGATCCGCCAGACACAATAAATTACGAAATGGAAAGATTCAAAGAAGCCACAACCAAACTCGATCTTATGCTTGCCAGAGAACAAGAGGTTAAGAGAATTTCGGAACGAAAACTGGCTGATCTACAGCAAGCAGAATCTGAGTGGCAAATAAAAAATCAAGAAATTTGGCAAGAACTTGAGGAAGTGGTTAGGAAGACTTTCGCCCATAAAGGGGATCGTTTATCGCTGGTGAGTCGACTTAGAAGAGTGAAAACTAGCTAAATACGATTTTACTGTTCACTACTTTTCATAGGCGGTTGATTCGCAATTGCGAACAATGGGCAAGTTGCGCGACGAAATCTCTGCAGTGCGGTATATTTTGATACAGAAGCAGCACTCCAGTGCCGCGATGACCGAGGTAAGTGAAGCGATGTTGCTCACGATGTAGGTGCGATTGCACTTACGTAGATAGAAATGTACTCTTTATATAACCAATATTAGGTCAGATTGGTAGGTATTAAGATTGCGACGTGGGGCATCCTTTTTATGTGCGCATCTGACTCTTTCCTGTTCTAGAGTAGATGTGGCGATCCTTGATTTAAGGACGTCTGCTACCCAACGGAATGTGGTAAGGTTACCCTTTTGTGTCGCGCGAAACTGTCTGTGCGTTTTCTCGAACGCCCTCCCTATGTCCGGAAAGCTACCTATGGTCACCCCTTTGTGCTCCATGCACTTTTAAATCTTCCTTGTATCAAGACCATGAACCTATGTATATGCAAGCATAGATATTCATAGATTTAGCGATTGATATTCTCTGAATAGTAATCTTAAAAAGAGCAGCAGATGGAAAGGTCCCTTTTAGAGATATGTTGCCATCTGCGCTAGGTATTTGGAAATACTCGAGGGAAGATACATATAGCTAACCCATCCTCAGCGACTCTCCAATCCTCTACGTAGGATCGTTTTATCCCAGTCTGCGAGTGGATTTTTCAGTGGTAAGCAGGGAGGAAAACGCACTGGGGTAGTAAATTTAAGAGATTCCCTCCTTGGAGGACCCGTGACGTCAGTGTATTCTTTGTAAAAAAATATTTCTGGCTAAAATCATCTAATATGATTGTTGTAATAATTTCAATAGAAATATTGCATTTTTGCTATTTAAATTAAATTAAAATATATTTCAAGGTGATTTGTTATTCATTATTTTGCAATAAAAATATTTTTACAGCAAATCAAGCAATTGGAAGACCTCGGCAATAACTTACAAATGCGTGACTATGAGAGCCTGCAAAACGAAGTACAGGCATTGGGTAAAAAAATTGAAGGTGAGAAAAATTTCAATTGTTGGTGCATAAATGCGTAAAATGTAAGTTCTTTCACTTCTGCATGCCTTCTTCCAGAACGCAATGCCGATTTGAATAAGTCACGAATGCGTTGCAATACGGACATACACATTATGGGACATTTAAAGGAGAAGCAGGCCACGTTGCGTTCTAAAATTAAGCTTCAAAATACAATGTTGGCTAGTCTGCAGAAAGAGAAGCAAGCGGCTCGTGAAGCTATTTTCAATTCCAAAAAGCAACGTACCAAAATAAGAAAGGAAATCAAAGAACTTAGCTACCAATGCGGCTTGCTCGATAAACCGGCACTAATGCTGGACTATGATGCCACTGTGGCGCAACTGAAAGTTGTCGGCGAGAATGTGGAGAAATTGCGTTGTAAACAGGACGAAATACAGCGTAAAATTGCAAAACTCGAGAGTAAATGCCTGTAGTTATCTGCAAGTGCTTATGTGTATTAACTTGCAACCGTGGAAAAAAATTGCGTCGATTTTGTGTCAGAAATAAATCTCTGCCAAAGCATGCGTTTATTTTTTTTTTTTTTGCAATTGTACGTTCGAATGCATGATTCAATAATTATAGGTTTGCTCAATAGTGACATTCGAGTTTTGACATTCCCTTAAGCCCCTTACAAAAGCTTTGCACACACACACGAACCCACACACAGTGCCTTGCTAAGGGGGCCGATTTTGTCAAGAGGGAGCGAGAAAACTGTCTTCAGAGCAAGCCGTTTAATACTGAATCATGGTTCGAATGTGCATAAGTAGAGAGAGAGAGAGTGGAAAAATATTTCCTATATCGATACCTCAGTGGAAGATCGACCAATCTCGACAGCCAGTTTGAAATGCCCTATCCAGACGCCGATTCAAAAACGCCCCATCAAACGCCCTAACTCAGCAAATTTTCAATGTATTTTCAGCTGACATAGGGCGTTTTTGAACCGAATTCTGAGATAGGGTGTTACTCAATAAAATTCTGAAATATGGCGCTCTTCAATCGAATTCAGAAGTAGGACGTTCTTAAAAAGTTTTCTGAGATAGGGCGTTTTCGAACTGACTGCCGGGATAGGTCGATCTTCCACTCTAGTGATGATTTCTTGCCAGAAAACAAAAATTTATTAAATTTAATTGAAAACTATCTTTAAGTCGAACCCAGTAGGAACTTTTAAACCCAAGCTAGGAAATTTTATACTTCAAAGTCGATTAACTAACTCGATTTTCTAAAATATGTACAAACATAATTCACACAAATCTTTAAAAATTCCATCTTTTCGTGCGTAAAAATTGGTCACAAACTCACAAAATTGCTAAACATTTTTAGAACAAAATTGGGTCAAAAGTAACTACATATTTGGGCCTACAAATAAAATTACATATTAGGCCGTGAAATGTGTGCCCATTTATGCAATCCTACTTATACATACATACATAGGTATGATCGCATATGTATGTAGTATAATATATTTATTCATGTGGGCACGTACGGGAGCACTTACGATCAATATGTTCGTAGACTTAGTTTTGTCGAAAATTACTAGAATGAGCAAGCCACTTCAATTATTGCTATATCCTAGCTCATGCCATTTCTCCATTATTTTATTTAGCTGTTTGTTCACTGCAATTTTCCCTCTTATTTATGTTTTCATTATTGTTGACACTATAAATGCCGCGCGATAAGTATGAAATAAGCTTCTGAATGAAAATGGACCGAGTTTGTATGCATGCAAATATTTACATACATAAAATGTGTATGCGACGTATATGAGCCGTTTATTTTGAAAGTGGCATAAGTCACTTCACAACTGTTGTGCTTAAATAACCGTTTACTTGTATCTGAACGTGTCGGTTATTCGTTGAACTTCGCCAACCAAAGATAAGTAGTTTTGTCATTAGTTTAGGATGATAGAGCGACTTGCAGAGGCATTTGGTTACAAGTAGCCGGTAATTTAAGCACAAGACGTACGAAATGACTTATGCCTCTTTCGAAATAAACGGCTCATATAAGTATGGGTGTTATTAAAGCGGAAAATTTATTAATGATATATTTGTGCTCACGTGATTGCGAAACTAATAAATTTTCACACTTACAAAATGATACGAAAATCCAATAAGGTTTTAGTTATTTAAAAAATATTTTCATTTTTAGTTTTTATGTATTTTTCTACGATTATACTACCGCAGGAATATTATTTAATGCTACTCTACTACTTTCCATTCCTGGGATTCCCAGCAACAAATAGTGAAAGTTGTCATTTCACGCTTGTCACAGCGTCCGGCAAACGGGCCAGAAACATTTTTATTTAAAGTACAAAACCGCGTATCAAAAAAATGCAAAACCGCGTATGTGAAGTTGTAGAAATTATTTTTTAGAGCGTAAAAACACTCATATTTTAAAATGGTTCTCTTTCTTATAAAGAAATCGCATTTCTGGCTGGTATATTTCAGGACGAATGGATAAGGATTGAGCCAAGAGCTTGTGTGAGCAAATCCAATTTTTGGCAGCCAATGCCAGTTACGCGGTTTTGCAGAATGACGATGCGCGGTTTTGTACTTTAAATGACGATATGTATATGTATGTACGTATTATCCATTTACTTATACCCCCCGCCAAAGGAGCTCACTCAGCAAAAGACTTCTTGCGAACTCCCCTAAATGTATTCGCACCGCAAAGGGAGTCCTATTTGTGCACCTTGCGGACTCCGCTGGTTGGCTGGATATAAGCAAATACGGCTGGGCGTTTACACACTTCAACAGCTTAGCAACAAATAAAAAATTCTTAAAATTATGAGACCTAACATAAAAAATAATAAAATAAAAATTCACGTCCTCGATTCGACGAATAAGTGCCGTCTAGGGATACATAAGTATTACAAAGTTTATCAATATTCGCATATAGAGTATATTTTGGCAAGTGAGTGCAAACGTGAGGACTGTAAATACATATGAACGAAATTATGTATGTATGAATTAGCCGTGTGATTCTAAAACACATCGCTACACTGATTAACTTTCGCCTAAATGTAGGCAACAACCCGCAGCTTTTGGCTTTATGAATTCAAAAACAACCGATTCACATTGTTTTTGTGGTTGCCCTTTACAAATGTACAAAACATTTATTCAAATACAGGGAAATCTCGATATAACGAACCTTGTTAAACGACAAACTCAGTGCAATTTTTTTTTTTTTAACTTGAATTTATACGAGCTTACTTCACCAGCAAATTCGATTTGAATCTCAAAATTCAATACATTGACATCGAGGTTTTTTTCGCAGCCAATATAGCACGCTCGCTTAATCAATCATATTTTTGTAAATTTCCACAATGATCTGGAACACTTTTCGCATAAGTTCCGTCTTTGATTTGGTAAATTGACATTATATTGCACGCAATAGAATAAGAGACCAACAGTATCATCGCACCACCAAAGCTGTTTTGGTTGTTTCGTAGATCTCGCGAGATTCTGCCTAATGCTTCCAGAGGTTTTTTATATGACATCGTGCCCTCATCCCAGACGATCAACTTACATTCCTGCAGAACTTTGGCCATCGAACAGGTCATAGAGATGTTGCACCAAGTGATGTGCGGTTTCGAGTGTTTAAAGAACCGGTTCTGTCGAGTCCGGTTTCAAGAAGAACCGGAAATTTTGACCAGTTCCGGTTCTTTCAAAAGTGGTGACGGAAATAGGCCCTGTAGAACTTAACGAACAAGTTTTTACAAAATTTCAGTTTTCTTTTTACAGAAGGTTATCAATTCGTCGGAATATTTTTTTTATGATTGTTACCGCATATATTTCTATCTGAAAGGTTGTATCTCAGAGGTGGTTCCATATTAATTTAGTTAAGATCCGATCATTGGATCATGATGAAATTAACGGTACTCCTAAATTTGTATAAGAGAATTGAAGTCGGTTCAGTTTTTTAATAAAATATTACTTGTTATATATGTAAGGTAAAGTAAAGAAAATAAATATAGATACATGTAATATTCATTCCCTAATTGATATTTGCGATATAAAAATTTTATAAAAATACAATATATGAATAAGCGTTTTCCACGTTAGTATTTCATTCAAAACAAAGTAATGCTTTCATTTAAAAACATGATTTTTTCGATGCTGTTGCTGAAGGAAGAAAACTAGAATAACATTAAACTCAGAGAAAACAAGTAAGAAAGTCTAAGTTCGGGCGGAGCCGAACATTAAA